TTTTTTGGTTTTTCGAGACAGGGTTTCTCTGTGTAGCTTTGCGCCTTTCCTGGGACTCACTTGGTAGCCCAGGCTGGCCTCGAACTCACAGGGATCCGCCTGCCTCTGCCTCCCGAGTGCTGGGATTAAAGGCGTGCGCCACCACAGCCCGGCCCATCCTCATCTTTTCATGTTTCACCAGTAGCGTATGGTAGTCAAGGGCTCCACCGCTGAGCCACATGCCAGCCCCTCACTGGGGGATTCTAGGCAGGTGCTCTACCACTGAGCCACAGCCCAGCCCTTCACTGGGGCATTCTAGGCAGGTGCTCTACCACTGAGCCATACTCCCAGACCCTTACTGGGGGATTCTAGGCAGGTGCTCTACCACTGAGCCACACCCAAGCCCCTCACTGGGGCATTCTAGGCAGGTGCTCTACCACTGAGCCACACCCCCAGACCCTTACTGGGGGATTCTAGGTGATTAGATTTGGCAATTTTCCAAGTCACCCTCCTCACCATCCTAGAGGAGGCAGCCAATTATGCTGGACCAAGGCTGTCCTTGGTCCAGTGATTCCATGGGGCAACACTGGCAGAGACCCGAGGGTGAGGCACTGTTGTCTCTGACCATGCCTGACTCTAACTGGGAAAGGGAGCCATCAGCCTAGGGAAGAGAACAGTTCCCACGCTTGGAGGAATCTGGACTTGAACTACAGAGTACTCCATCCTGTACTATCCATAGTCTTTCAGGTCTCAAGGCTTGCATACTTGTTCTCAGTGTTCTTTAGTTGGTTGGTTTTCAGAGACAGGGTCTCATGTAGCTCAGGCTAGCCCAGCTCTGGCTATATATCCAAGGATGACTTTGAATTCCTGGTCCTACTGTCTCTGGCTCCCAGTAATGAGATTTCAATCGTACATCACTACTCTCTTGACTTGCTCTTCTCGAGATTTTTGTATAAGATTTTTTTTTTTAATTATTTTCTGTGACCAGTGCAATGGTTTGGCAGGCAAATAAAGGCACTTGGGGTAAAACCTGATACCCTGAGTTCAGTCAGTGAGTTTAATCTCTGAACATGGTGCAAGGAGAGCACTGACTCCTGCCAGTTGGCCTCTGACTTCCACACATGAGCTGTGGCACATGGGCACTCACACACACAGGAAATAAGTAAGTGTCACTGAGCAAGGTGGTGCACACCTTTAATCCCAGCACTTGGCTAGGCAGCTCTAAGTTCAAGGCCAGCCTGATGTACATAATAAGCTCCAGGCCTGTCAGGGCTACAGGTGGGAGACCCTGACTTTGAAAAAAAAAAAAAGAAGTGAAATAAAATAAAAACATAGCTGAAATTTTATTTTCACTCTGTATCCCAGGCTGGCCTGGTACTTGCAGTCTTCCTCATCCCAACCTTCTGAGTAGATGGGATGATGGGCGCGCCCCCGAGCCTGCTGTTGGGTGTGTTTTAATAACGTGCTGCTGCTGTGCACAGGGCACATTCACCAGGCCCAGCAGAGCGCTGATGGACCGAGAGTCCGTCCCTCCGCTGACTTCGGCCTCTCACCCACTCCTCACGCCAGGGACCACCAGGGACCAGTGTTTTGTGCCTCTTTTGGGGAGACGTCGGCCAGTATGAGTATGCGTGTGTCTTTTTGTTTTGGTTTGGTTTTTGGCTTTTTGATGTTTTTATTTATTTGTTTCATTTATTTTACATACCAACCAGTTTCCCCTCCTTCCTCTCTTCTCAGTCCCTCCCCCACCTCCCATCTATCTCCCTCATCTCCCTCATCCACTCCTTCTCTGTTCAGAAAGGGGCAGGTCTCCCCTGGGAGTCAACAAAGCATGGCGTACCACACTGAGGCAGGACCGAGCTCCTCCCTCTGCGTCAAGGCTGGGCGAGACATCCCAACATGGGGAATAGGTTCCCAAAAGCCAGCTCAGCATGCATGCGTCTTTAGCTCACACCCAGGGACTGCCGTCTTCTGTGCTCCACCATGGTCTCTAGTGTATGTGGACCACCATGGCCTTGCCCACTCCCATGGGAATGGACACTTCGGTTATTCTTTCTCCTTCTATTTCCTATTTCTTTCTTTCTTTTTTCGCTTTTTTGAGATAGGGTTTCTCTGTGTAGCTTTGCGCCTTTCCTGGAACTCACTCTGTAGACCAGGCTGGCCTCGAACTCACAGAGATCCGCCCACCTCTGCCTCCCGAGTGCTGGGATCAAAGACGAGCGCCACCACCGCCTGGCTGCCTATTTCTTTTTATCTTTCTTCTTTTTCTCCTTTTATTGTTTTCAGAGATAGGATCTAATGTAGCCCAGGCTGGTCTCCAGCTCACTTTGTAGCCAAGGCTGACCTTGAACTCCAGGTCTTCCTGCCTCTGCCTCTGAGTGCTGAGATTACATCTGCATCATCACACCCCTCTTCTCTTTCATTTTTAAGAGCCAGGCTCTCTCTCTAGCCCAGAGCAGTTTCGCACTCAGGATCCTCCTGCCTCAGCCTCCTGCGTATTAGGCTGGCATGCCTCAGGTTGCTCTCAGTCCTCTCTCTCTGTTACCCTGGGGTCCCCTAAGCTGCTTCCCAGTGTGGCACTTGTGCTTCTGCTAGCTCATTGGTGGCCGAAAGTCTTAGAGGTGGTGGTATAAGGTCAGGGGCTCTGCAGTTTGTGGGAGTCAGGCCTGATCCCCCCCGTAGCTCCTTACGGAGGAGCTCCAGCCTGGAGGAGGCCCCACCACATCCCGGCTGACACTTGGTCAGTTCTGACCTGACCTGACATGTGGGTGCTCTTCCCAGGGAGGGTGGGCATTTCCTCCTCTTGAGCTGAAGGACCAGAGAGAGTTTTCTCACCTCAGCCTGCCCTCTGCTCTCTCGATGGCCCGGCTGTCTTCACGGCTTTCACCCTCTCGGGGTTTCTTGACATGTTCAGGAAACTCGCCCACTAAGAAGCCGGCTCATTGAAAATAGATTTTCAAAAGTTTCTTGGTTTTACTCATGGTGGTTTTTGTCATGGAAATTTTTTTTTTTTTTAATCTTGGCTTAGTCAAACTGATCAACCCCCCCCCCTTTTTTTTTTGTTGTGGTTTACAGCATACTCAGACAGTCCTGAGAGCTGGCTGTGTGTCGTCTTGTGTACATGCGTGTATGGGTGCAAGTTTGTGTGGCGGCCAGAGAACAGTCTGGGGTGTCACACCTTCCTCAGGCACTGCCCACTTTTTATTTGTGATAGGGTCTCTTGTTGACCTAGCTGGCTATGGACCTTCCATCTTGCCATTGATGGATTATAATAGAATGTCTCTACACCCGCTTTTCACATGGGTTCTGGCATCCAACTCAGGGCATCACATTTGTAAGATAAGAACTTTACCAACTGAATCATCTCAGGCCCTGAGAATGGATTATTTTATTTCAGTACCAGATATGGATCCTGGGGTCTAATATCACTAGCCCCTCACTGGGGGATT